AACCGGGTTTGATTAGTTCACCTGAGTATTTAAACCAGACCTCTATGTATCTAATTACTTAGGCCCATCTATGATAGTTTCAGTAAATAGCGCCCTCTCAAATCGTACCTATCAACTTAAGATTAAGTTCTAATTTAGATATCTATAACTCATTAAGAACAATCAAGAAGAGGAATTCTAAAAGTAATCCTAATGATATGAGTCAAATTGCCTATAGTCTACTCCCTCGAATAAGAGATCAATTGTAGTACTTTAGAGTCAAATTCCTTTAAGTTCAATTGTTCACTGAATAAGTAAAAGTCTCGAGAACAAAATCAATAATAGAAAAATATAAAAGAAACAAGTAAGCAGAGCAGATTGGTTTTAAATTCAGATGATTAAAGCATCAGGTTTAGGGAAATTCTCAGGAAATAGACAAACAATGGATCTAGCTATGATTAAGATTGTTATTGAACCATTCTAGAACTCAAAAAAAATAAACTATGGCCAACCAGCTCTAGCCGTATTGACTAACTATGCCTAGCAATAAAAATTCCAATCCTAGTTAGAAATCTCTATTACTAAACATGCATTATAATCAGGTTTGATAAGTTCACCTAATAGCTAAACCATACCTATGTGTATCTAGTTATTAGGCCCATCTATAGTAGTTCAGGTATCAGTGCCCTCTCGAATGCTACCTATACCTAAGATCAAGTTCTAGTTAGCTACTCTAGAATTAGCAGTAAAACCAATTAATATGAAGAACTATGTAGATAATTCTAACAGTTTTAAAGATCTACTAATTCATCTAAATCCCCAGTGAGAAACCCTAAACCTAAACCTAACAAGTAGATTACTCATGTTTGAATAAGAAAGCATAAAGAAATCAAAAAGAGAATATAGTTTAGAAAAGATCTTCTCTCTATATGTTTTTGAAATCTCTGGAACTCTCCACAAACCTCAGAGAATTGCAGAGTAAAAGTAGAAGTATCAAAATTTAGGTCTAAACAATGACCATAAAAACTATTTATTAAGTCTTCAAAAATGTGGAGGGGCTCCTAATGCGATTAGAAAAGTCTTCTCGGCAAAACTGCCATTCTTAAATCTTTAAGCCGTCTTGGACTTTTGTTGGACCACGAACGGTGTCGGTCGACACTCTTGATTTGTGAACACTAAGCTAAGCCATCTTTATATTATTTGAATTCGTCATTTAGCTTAGCTTCTTCAGATTTTGCTTTAAAATGCTTCTTTATTTCAAAACTTGTCCCGGTCCTCGAAATACCTGAAAAGACTCTAGAAATAATATAAAGATTCTAAAACCTCTGCCTAAATCATACAAAAACTGGTGAAAATCGCGGTATATCACCTAACAGTTTATCAATTCACTAATTCATCTAAATCCCTAATGAGAAACCCTATACCGAACAAGTAGATTACTCAGACATGATCATAGAAACACCAATCATGTTTGAATAAGATTGCATAACGAAATCAAAAGGAGAATAGAGTTTCAAAAAGATCTTCTCTCTATAGGGTTTTGAAATCTCTTAAGAACTCTCCACAAACCTTAGGGAATTGCAGAGCAAAGTAACTAAAACTTAGAATCTAGGGAGTTGTAAAACATGTAAAAATAGTTAGGTCTAAACAATGACCTTGAAAATCTATATATACTGTCTAAAAAACGTGTAGGGAAGTATTTTGGGGTATATTCTGGAGACTTCAATTCTTCAAACCGTCAAAATTAGGCTGAGCTGTGAATGGTGTCGACGGACACCCGTTCAGATTCCAAATTTGTATTTTAGCTTATTTTCCTTTGTTTTCGCTCCAAAATGCTCAATATTCTTCAAAAGTATCCAAAAGTGTAAAAAACAGAAGAAGACTAGATAAGACTCGACAAATAACAAAAAAGACTCTAAAAACTATACCCATATTATACCTAAAATCGGTAAAAATCCAGGTATATCATTTATTCCACTTGTTCATGATCTGATAACACTTTTATTCAGATTCTATATAGTTTTTTTATATTGATTATAGCAAACTATTTTGTTCTTAACTAAACCATAAGTTGGTGTTTTGTTTTCTACAACAAGAAGATATTAGTTTATGTTTAAACAATAACAAGAAACAATACATTTTTAACCCTCAAAGTGTCAACAGGTAGCATTTTTAACCTCGAAAGAATTTCAATAACACTATAAACCACCAAGATAATTTAACTAACACTTTAAACTTCCAAACTCTTATTTGCACTTCCATAAAAATGATGGTAAAATAATTTATGTCTGTTTGATAAAACATTATTTAATTTAATTTTAATTTTAATTAATTTCATAATTTATTATTCCTTCTATTTCATACTATATGATATTTTAAACTTTTTTGTTTCACAATATATGATGTTTTGAAAACAGAATTTAAGTTTAAAAGTAATGGGTTCGTTATTGATTCATTTTTAAAAGTAACTAACCTTATCGACAAACGGACAAATTTTTGGAATATAGATCTCTTACAAGAGATCTTTAATCCAAAAATATCCCGCTGATAAGTTTCATGCATGTGGGTGCACCCAACAAAGAGGATACTTTAGGTAGTCATTTTACAAAATCCGGAAAATATAATGTCAAATCTGGATATCATACTTCTCGGATAGAACATATGGATGCAACTTTATCTTTTATTGGTCCGGAGATCAAAATACTAAAAGCATAAACTTCGAAAGTGCAATGTCCACCTAAGTTACGCCACTTTTTATGGCAAATTTTAGCAGGATGTGTGCCAGTGACACAAAATTTACGGAATAGAGGCATAAATTGTGATAGAGGTTGCGCAAGATGTGGCGCCACATAGGAAACAATTAATCATACGCTCTTTCAGTGTCACCTAGCTCAACAGATTTGGGCGCTTTCACAGATTCCCACGGTTGTAAGAATTTTCCCCTCAGATTCTAGTTATGTGAATCTGGATCATTTATTTTGGAGGCCAACTTTTAGCAATTGATTCATTTTCATACCCATGAAAAGATTTTAGCAATTGGTACATTTGGAAAGCATGAGATGAAAAGATTTTTTATAATGTGGATAATGATCCACTCGAGATATTATGTTTAGCAGAACAAGAGGCACAATCGTGGAAATTAGCTCAAGTTGAGCTTCATACTGAAAATCTGGTCTCTTTTTTGGAAACACGAACTCTTGTGAAAAATATCTCAAGGGATATTACGTATGCAGGACTTCGTTGTTTTGTAAACGGATCTTGGAAAGAGATTGATAAGTTTTTAGGATTAAGATGGTTTTGTACATCATCAAATGAAGAAACATGAAGCATGGGCGCTGCTAACCCTGTAAAAGTCTCTCCCCACTCCATACAAAAGTTGAAGCCCTTCTTTGGGCGATGAAGTGTATGATTGGTCCAGAAAAGCAAGATGTACCATTTTTTACAGATTGTTCCGACCCGGTGAAGATGATGTCTTTCCCAACCGAATGGACAGCATCTTTAGGAAATTTGGAGATTTTTCAGAGCGACAAAGATGAGTTCACAAATTTGTCGATGCGCAAATATAAAACCGGATAATTCGGTACGGAAAGTCTGTTCCGAAAAGCATCACTCACTTATGTAAACAACATACCATAAAAATGGCTATTTTGAGCTCTAAATTAAAGAGGATGACAAAAAAAAAACAATTCAAGTTTCTATGTAAAATATTAAATTAAACAATTTTCAACTATTAGTATTTTACAGTAAGTTATATTATTGGTCAAATTATTTTTAAAAGAGATTAATTTTTGTTTTTAATGTAATAAACTCAAAATTAATTAATTTCTTAAATTTGTTATTTTTATCAAAAAAATCAAATATTCCGAAAAAAGAGTATTTATGAATGTAAAAAATCTCGTAGCAGATTTTTCCGTTACGATGAATGATACATTTTTTTGGTTAAGCGTCGACATTCTTTGATTGTTATAATGTAGAATATTTTTTGGAAAAAGAAAATCTTATTTGGAGATTTAAAGTATTAATAAAATTATTTTTTAATGTTCAAAGTATTATCCAATAATATTTTAAGGCTTAAAAATGTGAATTTACCTCTTGAAATTCATATACGTATATATGATTTTTATTTCATAACACGTTGCAGTTGATAAATATAAAAGACAAAGTTACGCTTTAGACCAGCGAGAGTTTTGCAAACAATTGAGGGTTGAATAAAAAATATTCATTAACCTCTTGAAGTTGTTTAAAAAGGTAAAATCTAGTATCAAATAAATATGAATCATTAAGACCTTGTTAAAATATTCGATAAAGCCCAAGATCTCGTTGTTCTTTAATCCTAGATTGCACATAACATCCAATCCTTTCTCCACCAATAAATCATTATCTCAAAAATAAATAATATGAAAGCATTACAAATAATGTGGATCGACCCAAGAACCTACTTCGCTACTACTTCCTCTACATCATGAATATTCAAAATGTGGTCCAGCAACACATTATTAACTCATCAACCAAACAAAATTTGCTTCCCAATTATATGCTCCGTATATTTAGCTATCTTATGAAAAGTTTTTGACCTTGATAAATTTGCAAAATCTAAATGATCGCAAAATAGAGAGATCCATCAAGGAAATGAATTCATAATTATATAATATATATCTTGACTAGACAGATCTACAGATCATCAATCTAAATAAGACAATCAACACAATCTCCCCATACCAATATTATTAAATTATACAAAATTTATAGATCCCATTTCAAAAACATTTTTGTATGTATTATATTCATAAACACCGATTAAACTCATAGACAGAAGTTAGGGTTTTTAAACAATGAATTTTTTTTTAAAGAACTTATTTAGAGATTAGAATCTTGAATCTAGCTACCAATATAGTTGGTAGTCATAAAAAATAACAAAGAGAACAAAACAAAAACACGTAAACGAAAGATTCTGTGATCAGATCTGATTATGGAATCACGCTTTCATATATATGAACGAAATTTAGAAAATCATTTGACTCTGTCTGTATCTTCCCACAGCTTTATTGAACCGCAAATCAATCGAACAGAGATGTGAAGAAAATCACTATTTTATGCGTAAGAGATATCAAAAAAAAAAAACAAATCTGAAGAAGTTTTGCAGTTCAAGAAAGCTGTGGAAGAATACAGAGAGGGTCATGTAGAGCAGACGAAACCCTAATTGTTGAAAGAGGGAGTGAGGGGCAAAAGCGTAATATAGAGAAAGAGGGAAGTTGAAATTGTGAGAAGGAAGATGGTCGATAGAAAGATATTTATAGGGGACAAGGGAAGAGAAGGGTCATTCTTTTACAGCACTAATCCCAAGGAGAATATTGGCTTTTTTTTTTTCTACTGTAACAAATATTTGTATTCATCAGTAATAGAATATTTATTTCTTTGAATTTGCATGTGTCGTATTGGTGTAGTCCGACTCAGTTTTTTTTATAATATGGTTGTATTCATATTACGTAAAATAATGATACTATAGTTGTCATATGATAATTATTACAAAAAACAAAATCGTTGTCATATAACCAATACTATAGTTGATGACACTTCTAACAAATATAAATATTTAAAACTAAATATATCGTATAAAATCTCAAACAGACATTAAGATCGTAATTTGTTTAGTGTATTATGAATTATAAAATTAAATAACATTTTTCTTTGAATAAAATAAATATATATTCAAATAAGAGAAATGCCTAGATAGTAAAAACTAAAATAACACAATATATACTGTTTAAATGGCCATGTATGAATTAATTGGTAGTAAAAAAATTTGTGAAAGTTGGTACTATTTTATGTAGATACCAGATATTGAATTTCAACCAAATTTTTTTTTATTGGTATGATATGGAAACATATAACTAGGAAATAGACTAAACAAATAAAAATATTGTAATGACAATAACTGTATAGAAAAATCGTCTATGTAGATATTTTTGAGTTGAAGATTACAATAATCAGGCAAAATTGGGTGGAGGAAATTTGCTTCTTTTGGTCTAACCATCACTTTATTCACAAGTGCTTCTTGTATCAGGTAATATGACTTGCCACCCCAAGCGTCAATGACCAAAACAAAAGGTAACTTTATCTATTTAGTTTTTTTTTTCTTTTTTATTATTATTTTATTTTATTTAATCCTGTAGAACACCGAAATGCTATAGAATGGACTATTCTCGATCCGTAGAATTGGGTTACCACACGTTTTTCTCCGAGTTTGAAATTCCTGCCGATTATTATGAAAGGATAGTCAAATTGTCTGCATTTCTAACTACCAAATAAACTAATTGGAACAAATTCTAACTTTATCTATTTAATTATTCTTTTTTTTTTTGTAGATCTTGATCTTAAAACACCTATAGAGTCCCTTAAACCAAACATTAACGAATAACATGATTAACATCTTACTCCACGGGCAGTGCGTTATATATATCCTGGAGATAAATTGACCATTGTGATCAAATCGTAAGTTTAATGACCTGGTCTATGAATTATTTAGCATTCAATTTACCAGTGTGGTGATGTTGTGAATAAACTTGTCCTGCATGATATCCATCTCCATGAAAGCGGTAAGGTAAGCATGTTACATGAGCTCCAATTATCGACAAATGTTCGGTTTACTATATTGTCCCCCATATATTAATCGTTCTGGTTTTAAATATTGTGGAATAGGAGATGGTGTATTAGCTATTGATCCTTTGTTTCATTTCATTATCTTTCGTCTTTGCCATAACATCTTGTGTTGTTCTAAATGATTTTATTTGTGGTTGCTAGTTAGTAGCGGGTGTACTTCGTATGCAATGATATTTTGACATTTTAAATTAATATGGTATTTTTGAATTGTTTTGTTTCTTCAAAATGATGTTGTGATTTTGTTTCTTGACGACTTGTCATTCATGTACAGATGACATTATTACACATAGTGTTTGGTCAAAGTTCAATCCGTTTATAGAAAAAGAACTTTTCTCTGATACAAGTTAGGAATCGTATACATATGTGCAGTTTTTTTATTTTATTTTTGGTATAGTAAATGGGTACATAGTTTTGCTTTCTTTGTCATCAAATTATTTAGAAATCAGACGAGCGATTCTGCATGAATTGTTTATGTAAGCAATGTATAGCGATTCTGCACGAATTGTTCGTACCAAATTTTTTTCCAATTATGAGTGATTAAAAATAAAGAAAAGATAGTTAATTTTTTCTTTTTTATTGATATGAAGCTCCTCCAAATATATTGAAATGATGGTTATTCGGTTTGAAAAAACAACAACTTTATTAAATTTGAACAATATGTAAACAAAGTTACTTTTTGACTGTCGACACCAATAATGAAAAATACTGGTAATTAATCACAAAACGATAAAATAAACAATCAAGTAAGCATTATCTTACTTCATTAAAATTAAGACTTGAAGTGTAAAATTCGTTTAGTTTTGGTTGGAATATATTTCTTAATATATATGACCGTTCAATACCTATTCTAAATAAAGAAATACATCGAAACGTTAATTTTTATTTTTGCTTAAATAAAACGAAGAAACATTAATAAATATTCTTTGCTTTATCATCATTTTTATCGGATTAAGATTAAGATGGTAATACAATAGTAATATTAGTGTGAAATATTGAAGTAGTATTTATAATTTGATTAAAAACATTATAAAAGTTAATCGACCAATATTTGATATAAGCGATGTTAATGTTTATTTTTACATTAAAGAAAAAGAAAATGTTGGGACGAGAAAAAAGAGAACATGGAGGCATGTGGGTGGTGGGGACAATGTAGTAGGAAAAGAAGGTTACAGCCCGTCTTTGCCGGGACGGAGGTCTCTTTGTCTACCTTTCTTCTCCGGACTCTCTCATTCTTCTATTATTATTTTATTTTGTTTTGGCCTTTCACATAAAGTTAATTGATCTTTGCTTGGATCGATTTTTGACGATCATAAAGCTTCAAGCTTTTTGCATCTTGTAGACTTTTCTATGCATCTGATTTTTCTTTTTAAAATCTTTTTTGAGAAAAGATTAAATTTTATATCTAAATTTTTAATTTAAATTACAAAAAAAACAGACTAACCGAAAACTATAAAAACCACCAAAAATTACAACACAACAGAAGACAAGGAAAAAAGAAAAGGAAATCACAACGAAAACCCTATTAGTGGAGACCCAAAACGAAACACCGATTCTAAACAATAAAGTTTTTACATTTGCGTGGTTTCCTCGGCTCGAAAGAGCTCATGTCCTCATCTTTGTTATCACAAGCAACCCAAATTTAAAGTTGTCCTCAAACCTCAAGAAAGAGCACTTACCGCTTCTCTGAAAACTAACACAAAAACAGAGCGGCTAAAGTGGACTAAACTCACACTCGACGGCACATGAGCATCTACGGGCAGCCAGAAAAGCCGCCTCCAGCCACCAATTCATTGCGAGTAACAGAACATCTTCCACAAAATAGCGAAGCCGCTTAATCCAAACGCCGCCTCAATTCCCCATGGAGAACCCCACCAAGGCAACACGTAGTGAAAATTTTGTTGCAAACTGCTATAGGCTGATCCTACAACAAAAGAAAAAAGCAACCTAACTGAGCCACAAAAGAGCCACATTGAAGCTTCAACGGAAGACGAAGCCAAACAAAAAACCTCCACACAAACTATTGCCACATCCACATTGAACAAATATAGTAAACCTCTCTGAGAACTCCGACCAGCTAGCCACAACCACAAAGAGCCCGAGGAGAGAAGCAAATCTAAACCAAACCTGATAAACTGTCCGAGAGACCAAATCGAAGGCGAGAATGAGTCAGATCCGGAGCCGTCCTTGAGCTCCATCACCTCCTCCGCCGTCAATCTCTCCAAAATAAGAACAATTAGGTTAGAATCACCTCCACGCGAGCTCAAACACAACCCCGCAAAAGAAACAACACCACCAAGCCGAGCCCACCAAGTCGAGCCCACCAAACTAATCGACACTCTTTAGGGCTATGTATTTGAATTATCATGCTTTAGGGCTATAATTCAGTAAAGCAAAATACTTGAATTTGCAACATAAATAAATTTATAAGGTTTTGATTGATTATATGTACTGTTGTATTACAAAATAACTAAGAATAATAAGTATTTGCACTATTTTTCTTACAACTATATTTTATTCTCAATCAAGTATTGCATACAATTTTATGTATCCGCTAAAAATATGTATCGTTTTGTGATAAGCTATGAAATATTCTAAAATAAATCCTGTTTTTAATTTTCATAAGAACAATTCTTGAAGTTGACATGTCATCTAGTTAAAAAAAAAACAAATAAATTAAATTATTAAAAACAGCCCAAAAATTAATTAATTGTAATACCCATTAATATCTCCTTCACGTCTCTCTTAAAATATTATTTTTTTTTGTCTTTAGTTGAAAATCTGTATATACATTTTTGCAACACTTTTTTTGAAAATAAGTTTTAAAATTTGAGCTTTAATTCATCAATAAATTCAAATGGTTGGGTTTTACCCAGTTTAATTTTGTTCGGATCTTGGATAACATTAATTCTTGAAAACTATTACCATTTACTACCAAAAAATAATTCAAAATAAAATTTAATTATTTAATTACCAAATTTAATATATATAATATCTCTAAACTAACCATATTTGTTATTTACTTTAACTAATTTCCTAAAACATCTCTACCTAATCTAAACATAAATATATGATTCTTCTTTCACTTTTATTGAATTTTATATTTAATTTATTCTGAATTTATATAAATTACACATTGTTAATAAAATTTTCTATTTTTCTGTATATGATGTGATTCAAATTTTTTAAAACGGACATATATTATTCAATTGATGAAGAAATAATATGTATACAATATCTCATATCGCTTAAAAAATTGGACAATGAATCATACTATAAAAAAGACCAAAATGATTATGAATACGAGTGAATAAGAAACTTGAGTTCTTAGACGGCCAAAACTAAAAGTGTTCGGTTTACTCCGGTTCATTATGTCAAAAATGGAAACTTTTAAAAAGTTTCAAAATATTATATATATTTAAATTTTATTTAAAGTAAACTATTATAACTGTTTCAAATATTAAAATATTTTATGAAGTTTTAAATATTATAAATATTTCATATTTATAATAAT